GCTACGCGACGTGGTTCAAGCCAACACGCTGCTGATGTGATCGGATTGAGAAGGAGTTGGCTGCCCTCTCCATGCGGCTGGGAGATGATGTGAAACCGGTCCTTGACATCAAAACACCTATGCGAGGATGGCAGCGGCGGGCAGCGAAGTGTCGTAGATGCAACAGTGCACCAAGATCATCTCGTTCTCGACAACTCGTGGGACAACACCTCATCCCCACCCTCAACGTTCAGCAGGACAAATGGACGCCTTAGTGGCTAAGGCAGCAGTCCTGCAGAGGACTTTCCGCAGGCCGCACACTGGAGGTGGTGCTGCCAAAAAAACTGCCGAGGGTATGGAGCTGCAGGAGGCAGCAGCGGGGAGGGGAGGGAGAGGCGAGGCCGTGGGAGAGGCTTTGGCAGAGGAAGAGCCGAGGTGACTACAACGAGGGCATGGAAGCTCTGGTGGCAGGGGGAGACACCCGAATGGAGGGTGCGTGCTGGTACTGCAAGAAGGCTGGACACCCATGGTTCAAGTGTTTCAGCCGGCCTGAAGGATGGGCGCCTCCAGGCATGAAGCCGCAAGTGGTGAATGTGCACGAGGTGGCGCTGTGCAAGGTTTCAGGTGCACAGGTGATGGTGCACAAGAAAGCTGACCCTGGGATGTTCCTCATGGTTGAGGATGTGCAAGGGAGTGGGGGTGATGTGGGTTCAGTTGGGAAGGTTATGATGCACCCCCTCATCACTGGGTGATCGATTCAGTTGCACGGTCATAATGACCCCACGGGCAGATTTGCTTGATGAGGTAAAACCTCCTGGGAAGATCAAGTTTGTGGCTGCCGCTTCTGGTGCTTTGCTTCCTGTGATTGGTGTTGGGAATGCCAAGGTGATGGGAGCCAATGGAGAGCTTGGGGGCTTGGGAATGTGCTGTTTGTTGAAGGTTTGTCCGCTAACCTTCTTTCTGTGCGCCGGCTGCAGAAGAGCAAGGCTGAAGTTACCTTCGCCCAACCAGCTGCCGTGCAAAGCTTGGGAAGTTGAGCTGTGGAACTTGGAGGAGAAGAGCAGCTGCATCAGGACCTATGGCAGCTGCCCATCATCCCTTGGAAGGGAAACCACCAGCAACGGCAAAGGCAGCGGCAGCGGCTAAAGCAACTGCGTGAGGAGAGGAGACTGCACCAACTGCAGGGGCCCTGGATGCAGTCAAGAAGGTGCAGCAGCCACACAGCACCACTGGTGAGATGCTTGCTGGTGTGGATGCGACAGCTGCATGGGCAAGGCTTCATCTGGGAGTGGTGAGGCTGATTGGGAGACGTGGCATGAGAGGCTATGCCACATCAACTTCCTATGCTGCAGAAGTTGGTAAAGGATGGTGCTTGAAGGGCCTAGAGGTGAAGGGGGAGCAAGGAGATTGGGAGCTGCCCTGACCTGCCTTGAGACCAAATTCACGAAGTTTCCTTCAGCAGCAGCACAGACCGCAAATGCACCACTTGCACTAGTGCACATGGATGTGGTGGGCCCCGAGGGCCCTTTCTCTCTCGGGCAGCCGCTACTTCTTGAAATTGTGGGACGACACACGCGTGCGGTGTGGGTGTACCCTCCAGACTAAGGGGGAGGTGGCAGCGGCTTGTTCTTAATGAGGGGATGCCGAGAGCACAAAGGTAGAGCGGACATAAGGTGAAGGTGATCCGCACCGACATGGAGAGAATTCATCGGCGCTGATTTTGAGGCGGTGCTGAAGAAGAAGGGGATCCAGCATCAGCTCACAGTGCCTTACAACCCTCAGCAGAAGTGCTTGGCTGAGCGGTTCAACCGGACCCTGCAGGAGGATGCTTCGCACTCTCCTTGGGCGTGCAGGGCTGCCGGATCCGTTTTGGGTGACAGCACTGCGGCAGGTCGTTGTTGTGAAGAACCGGGTGCTGGCGACTGTGGGGGGACAAGCATGGGGTCCCCTACACCAAGTGGTTATGGGAGTGTGCCTGCAGTCCAACATGCTGAGAACTTATGGCTGTATGGTGGTGTTTCATGTGCCTAAGGAGAAGGAGGGAAAACTGGAAGCTTCTGGGAGATGGGGTGTGCACTTGGGGCTTGCAAAGGATCACAAGGGCTGGCTGATTTGGGACTTGACCAGCCAGCAGCTGAACTGTGTCGAGGGATGTGAAGTTCCTTGAGTCCTTGTACTACAAGGAGTGGAAGCAGCAGCAGCAGAAGCTTCCACTACAACCGCTGATCATTGAGGCTGATGAGGTGCAGCGGCCTTCGAGGCAAGTGCAGGTCACTGTCCTCAGAGGAGAGGATTTCTGGGGTGACTGAGGATGGGGGGAGAACCTGAGGTGGAGCAGCAGCAGCAGCAGCAGCAGCAAGCCGCAGCAGCAGCAGCAGCCACCAGCAGCAGGAGCAAGGTGCTCCACAAGGTGCCGCGCGTCCGGCTGACCGTCCCCGGAGGGAAGTGCGCCCTCCTAACCGGCTGACCTATCCGAGCTTTGGCAAGCCAAAGGTGGTACGGGCTGGGAGTGTGGCTGAGCAGTGTGATGAGGATGAGATAGCACACTGCTACTGGGCAAGCCGTCCCTGAGCCCAAGACGTTAGCCGAGGCATTGAGCGGGGCCCGACGCTGAGAAGTGGAAGCAGAGTGTGAAGGAGGAGTATGACTCTCTGCTGGAGAATGAGACGTGGGAGCTGTGTGAGCTGCCACCTGGGAAGAAGGCCATTTCTTCCAAGCTGATCTTCAGGCATAAGTACGGACCCGATGGGGAGCTGACCCGCTACAAGTCAAGCTTGTGGCTAAGGGGTTCCAACAGACAAAGGGGAAGGATTTTGATGATATCTTTGCTCCTGTAGGGAAAGGCACTACACTGAGGACGATGTTGGCAATGGCTGCAAACCGTGGCTGGAAGATCAAGCAGATGGACATAATCACTGCATTCCTCAATGGAATCATTCTGGAAGAGCTGTACATGCTGCAGCCTGAGGGTTGGATGATGGGAGCGGCAGGGTGTGCAGGCTCAAGAAGGCCATCTATGGCCTGAAGCAGGCTCCTCGCGCATGGTACCACAAGCTGGAGGAGACACTGCTGGCTGGGGGGTTCAAGAAGAGCGAGTGTGATCACAGCCTGTTCCTGCTGCAAGAGAAGGAGCAGTTCCTCATGCTCCTGGTGTACGTGGACGACATCCTGCTCTTCTCTGAGTCGTCTGCAATGATTGAACGTGTGGAGGAGATGCTGGAAATGCAGTTCAAGTGCTCCAAGATGGGAGATGTGAAGTACTACCTTGGGATGCATGTGGAGAGGGACCTTGACAAGGGAGTGTTGAGGTTGCACCAGAGGAAGTACTGTGAGGGGCTGGCCGAGAAGTATGGACTGCAAGATGGAGGAAAGCCAGCCACCCCACTGCCTTTGGGGTTCACTGTGGAGCCCTGTGCTGATGAGGAGGTGGTGGGTGAGAGTGACAGGAAGCTGTTTCATTCCATGGTGGGGGCACTCAATTATGCGGCTAACCACACACGGCCTGACATTGCCTTTGCTACATCCAGGCTTGCAAGTGTGGTTGCACGCCCCAGTCATGAGCAGCTGGAAGCAGCCAGAGGTTGGTCCGCTATGTGAGCGCTACGTCATCAATGGGCTTAGAGTACAGTGCTGTGCGACAGAGGCTGCAGAGGGGTGCAGCTGATTTGGGCAAGGGGGAGATGCTTCTGACTTGCTACACCGACGCCAGCTTCAACTCTGTGAAGGCGGATGGCACCAGCATTGGAGGCTATGTGTGCCTGTTTGGAGGTGGTGCAGTGAGCTGGCGCAGCAAGAAGCAGAACGAGGTGGGGCAGTCCTCGTGTGAGACAGAGTACATGGCCCTGCATCATGGGGCAAAGGAGGTGGTGTGGCTGAGGCGTTTGTTGGAGGAGATCGGAGTGTGCCAGAGGGAGCCGACTGTGATTTTCTGTGACAATGAGTCGGCGGTGAAGCTAGCAAAGAATGCTTGTCTTCATGGGCTGACCAAACACATCAGGCCTAAGTGGCATTGGGTGAGGAGGCTCCTGGACAAGGAGGTGCGACTGGAGATTGTGAAGACCCATCAGCAGGCGGCTGACATTCTCACCAAGCGCCTGGCTGAATCTGAGCATTGGAAGGGCATGAAGCTTGCTGGAATGAGTGTGTATTGAGGGTGCATGATTGAGCTATGGCATGTGGGATGATGGTAGGCAGCCAGAGGGGGAGTTTGTTATGTGATGCTATCATTTGCATTCACGTCTGTCTGCCTCCCATCATGTGTTCGTGCGTTGCATGTATGAAATGAGCGTGCGCAAAAAGTTGTGTTTTCTGTGGTTTGGATTTTCTGAGTGTGTGTGAATGTTATTTGGCTTGAGCAGATATCTGAAGTGACTCCACTGCTCAAGAGCTTTCCGACGAACCAAGAATCACTTCAATCGGAGCACGAACAAGAAAGTTACAAACGTTGGAGTTCGTATGCTTTTGATATTTGGTTGTGGTGACCATGGAGAGTTGTGGGTTGACTCAATATGGGGTACAGACTTTTGGGGGTTGGGAAATTCGTCACTACTACTATAGTTGCTGCCAATTGGTTGGGAGAAACCAAACCAGGTTGGCAAGTGTGGCCAAGTTGGGTTGAGGTGAATTGTGGAGGTTGGGAAAGTGACAAAAGTGAAAGTGGGGTTGCATATGGAGAAGGGAATTATGTGGCATGGGGTTTCCTTGGTTGGGAACTCTCTTGGGACCTTCCCTCTCGTCCTCCTCATCCCATCCTACCTGGTTTAGTGCTACTCTAACTCTCTTGTGTGTAACTCTTGAGAACTTTTGAAACTATTGTAAGTGAATTAAGTTTTCTATGTGGCAGCATACCCCCTGGTGCGCCGAGAAGCATAACTAGAGATTTACTCCACCTATTGATACGATTCAAATTGGGAATGATAGCCACGGACAATGGCTATAACATACTCGAGTTTCCGACGATTCTAACGGTGCACTTTTCGTCGACAACGTTTCTTGTGAAGTCGCGGTTTCTGTCCAGAATTTCAAGCCAACGATTTTGAGAAATTTAGGCTCCTAATCTTCACAGACTCGATCCTTAGTCTATAACATGAGAGTGGGTGAGAGGGAATGAGAGCGTGTGAGAGTGGGTTAGAGGGAATGAGAGTGTATGAGAGTGGGTGAGAGGGAATGAGAGCGTATGAGAGTGGGTGAGAGGGAATGAGAGCGTATGAGTGTGGGTGGGAGGGAATGAGAGCGTATGAGAGTGGGTGAGAGGGAATGAGAGCGTATGAGTGTGGGTGAGAGGGAATGAGAGCGTATGAGAGTGGGTGAGAGGGAATGAGAGCGTATGAGAGTGGGTGAGAGGGAATGAGAGCGTAAGAGAGTGGGTGAGAGGGAATGAGAGGGTATGAGAGTGGGTGAGAGGGAATGAGAGTGTATGAGTGTGGGTGAGAGGGAATGAGAGCGTTTGAGAGTGGGTGAGAGGGAATTAGAGCGTATGAGAGTGGGTGAGAGGGAATGAGAGCGTATGAGAGTGGGTGAGAGGGAATGAGAGCGTATGAGAGTGGGCAAGAGGGAATGAGAGCGTATGAGAGTGGGTGAGAGGGAATGAGAGCGTATGAGAGTGGGTGAGAGGGAATGAGAGCGTATGAGTGTGGGTGGGAGGGAATGAGAGCGTATGAGAGTGGGTGAGAGGGAATGAGAGCGTATGAGAGTGGGCGAGAGGGAATGAGAGCGTATGAGAGTGGGTGAGAGGGAATTAGAGCGTATGAGAGTGGGTGAGAGGGAATGAGAGCGTATGAGTGTGGGTGAGAGGGAATGAGAGCGTTTGAGAGTGGGTGAGAGGGAATTAGAGCGTATGAGAGTGGGTGAGAGGGAATGAGAGCGTATGAGAGTGGGTGAGAGGGAATGAGAGCGTATGAGAGTGGGCAAGAGGGAATGAGAGTGTATGAGAGTGGGTGAGAGGGAATGAGAGCGTATGAGAGTGGGTGAGAGGGAATGAGAGCGTATGAGTGTGGGTGGGAGGGAATGAGAGCGTATGAGAGTGGGTGAGAGGGAATGAGAGCGTATGAGAGTGGGCGAGAGGGAATGAGAGCGTATGAGAGTGGGTGAGAGGGAATGAGAGTGTATGAGAGTGGGTTAGAGGGAATGAGAGTGTATGAGAGTGGGTGAGAAGGAATGAGAGCGTAAGAGAGTGGGGTGAGAGGGAATGACAGCGTATGAGAGTGGGTGAGAGGGAATGAGAGCGTATGAGAGTGGGTGGGAGGGAATGAGAGCGTATGAGAGTGGGTGAGAGGGAATGAGAGCGTAAGAGAGTGGATGAGAGGGAATGAGAGGGTATGAGAGTAGGTGAGAGGGAATGAGAGTGTATGAGAGTGGTTGAGAGGGAATGAGAGCGTATGAGAGTGGGTGAGAGGGATTGAGAGTGTATGAGAGTGGGTGAGAGGGAATGAGAGCGTAAGAGAGTGGGTGAGAGGGAATGACAGGGTATGAGAGGGAATGAGAGGGAATGAGAGCGTAAGAAAGTGGGTGAGTGGGAATGAGAGGGTATGAGAGTGGGTGAGAGGGAATGAAAGCGTATGAGTGTGGGTGGGAGGGAATGAGAGCGTATGAGAGTGGGTGAGAGGGAATGAGAGCGTAAGAGAGTGGATGAGAGGGAATGAGAGGGTATGAGAGTGGGTGAGAGGGAATGAGTGTGTATGAGTGTGGGTGAGAGGGAATGAGAGCGTATGAGAGTGTGTGAGAGGGAATGAGAGCGTATGAGAGTGGGTGAGAGGGAATGAGAGCGTATGAGAGTGGGTGAGAGGGAATGAGAGCGTAGAAGAGTGGGTGAGATGGAATGAGAGCGTATGAGAGGGGTGAGAGGGAATGAGAGCGTATGAGAGTGGGTGAGAGGGAATGAGAGCGTATGAGAGTGGGTGAGAGGGAATGAGAGCGTATGAGAGTGGGTGAGAGGGAATAAGAGCGTATGAGAGTGGGTGAGAGGGAATGAGAGCGTATGAGCGTGGGTGAGAGGGAATGAGAGGGTATGAGAGTGGGTGAGAGGAATTGAGAGCGTATGAGAGTGGGTAAGAGGGAATGAGAGCGTATAAGAGTGGGCGAGAGGGAATGAGAGCGTATGAGAGTGGGTGAGAGGGAATGAGAGCGTATGAGAGTGGGTTTGAGGGAATGAGAGTGTATGAGAGTGGGTGAGAGGGAATGAGAGCGTAAGAGAGTGGGTGAGGAGGGAATGAGAGGGTATGGGAGTGGGTGAGAGGGAATGAGAGCGTAAGAAAGTGGGTGAGTGGGAATGAGAGGGTATGAGAGTGGGTGAGAGGGAATGAGAGCGTATGAGTGTGGGTGGGAGGGAATGAGGGCGTATGAGAGTGGGTGAGAGGGGAATGAGAGCGTAAGAGAGTGGATGAGAGGGAATGAGAGGGTATGAGAGTGGGTGAGAGGGAATGAGTGTGTATGAGTGTGGGTGAGAGGGAATGAGAGCGTATGAGAGTGTGTGAGAGGGATTGAGAGCGTATGAGAGTGGGTGAGAGGGAATGAGAGCGTATGAGAGTGGGTGAGAGGGAATGAGAGCGTAGAAGAGTGGGTGAGATGGAATGAGAGCATATGAGATTGGGTGAGAGGGAATGAGAGCGTATGAGAGTGGGTGAAAGGGAATGAGAGCGTATGAGAGTGGGTGAGAGGGAATGAGAGCGTATGAGAGTGGGTGAGAGGGAATGAGAGCGTATGAGAGTGGGCAAGAGGGAATAAGAGCGTATGAGAGTGGGTGAGAGGGAATGAGAGCGTATGAGAGTGGGTGAGAGGGAATGAGAGGGCATGAGAGTGGGTGAGAGGAAGTGAGAGCGTATGAGAGTGCGTGAGAGGGAATGAGAGCGTATGAGAGTGGGTGAGAGGGAATGAGAGCGTATGGGAGTGGGTGAGAGGGAATGAGAGCGTATGAGAGTGGGTGAGAGGGAATGAGAGCGTATGAGAGTGGGTGAGAGGGAATGAGAGCGTATGAGAGTGGGTGAGAGGGAATGAGAGCGTCTGAGAGTGGGTGAGAGGGAATGAGAGCGTATGAGAGTGGGTGAGAGGGAATGAGAGCGTAAGAGAGTGGATGAGAGGGAATGAGAGCGTATGAGAGTGGGTGAGAGGGAATGGGAGCGTTTGAGTGTGGGTGAGAGGGAATGAGAGCGTATGAGAGTGGGTGAGAGGGAATGAGAGCGTATGAGAGTGGGTGAGAGGGAATGAGAGCGTATGAGAGTGGGTGAGAGGGAATGAAAGCGTATTAGAGTGGGTTAGAGGCAATGAGAGCGTTTGAGAGTGGGTGAGAGGGAATGAGAGCGTATGAGTGTGGGTGAGAGGGAATGAGAGCGTATGAGAGTGGGTGAGAGGGAATGAGAGCGTATGAGAGTGGGCGAGAGGGAATGAGAGCGTATGAGAGTGGGCGAGAGGGAATGAGAGCGAATGAGAGTGGGTGAGAGTGAATGAGAGCGTATGAAAGTGGGTGTGAGGGAATGAGAGCGTAAGAGAGTGGATGAGAGGGAATGAGAGGGTATGAGAGTGGGTGAGAGGGAATGAGAGTGTATGAGTGTGGGTGAGAGGGAATGAGAGCGTATGAGAGTGGGTGAGAGGGATTGAGAGCGTATGAGAGTGGGTGAGAGGGAATGAGAGCGTATGAGTGTGGGTGAGAGGGAATTAGAGCGTATGAGAGTGGGTGAGAGGGAATGAGAGCGTATGAGAGTGGGTGAGAGGGAATGAGAGCGTATGAGAGTGGGTGAGAGGGAATGAGAGCGTAAGAGAGTGGGTGAGAGGGAATGAGAGGGTATGAGAGTGGGTGAGAGGGAATGAGAGTGTATGAGTGTGGGTGAGAGGGAATGAGAGCGTATGAGAGTGGGTGAGAGGGAATTAAAGCGTATGAGAGTGGGTGAGAGGGAATAAGAGCGTATGAGAGTGGGTGAGAGGGAATGAGAGCGTATGAGAGTGGACAAGAGGGAATGAGAGCGTATGAGAGTGGGTGAGAGGGAATGAGAGCGTATGAGAGTGGGTGAGAGGGAATGAGAGCGTATGAGTGTGGGTGGGAGGGAATGAGAGCGTATGAGAGTGGGTGAGAGGGAATGAGAGCGTATGAGAGTGGGCGAGAGGGAATGAGAGCGTATGAGAGTGGGTCAGAGGGAATGAGAGCGTATGAGAGTGGGTTAGAGGGAATGAGAGTGTATGAGAGTGGGTGAGAGGGAATGAGAGCGTAAGAGAGTGGGTGAGAGGGAATGACAGCGTATGAGAGTGGGTGAGAGGGAATGAGAGCGTATGAGAGTGGGTGGGAGGGAATGAGAGCGTAAGAGAGTGGATGAGAGGGAATGAGAGGGTATGAGAGTGGGTGAGAGGGAATGAGAGTGTATGAGGGTGGTTGAGAGGGAATGCGAGCGTATGAGAGTGGGTGAGAGGGATTGAGAGCGTATGAGAGTGGGTGAGAGGGAATGAGAGCGTATGAGAGTGGGTTAGAGGGAATGAGAGTGTATGAGAGTGGGTGAGAGGGAATGAGAGGGTATGAGAGTGGGTGAGAAGAAGTGAGAGCGTATGAGAGTGGGTGAGAGGGAATGAGAGCGTATGAGAGTGGGTGAGAGGGAATGAGAGCGTATGGGAGTGGGTGAGAGGGAATGAGAGCGTATGAGTGTGGGTGAGAGGGAATGAGAGCGTAAGAGAGTGGATGAGAGGGAATGAGAGCGTATGAGATTGGGTGAGAGGGAATGAGAGCGTATGCAAGTGGGTGAGAGGGAATGAGAGCGTATGAGAGTGGGTGAGAGGGCATGAGAGCGTAGGAGAGTGGGTGAGAGGGAATGAAAGCGTATGAGAGTGGGTTAGAGGCAATGAGAGCGTTTGTGAGTGGGTGAGAGGGAATGAGAGCGTATGAGTGTGGGTGAGAGGGAATGAGAGCGTATGAGAGTGGGTGAGAGGGAATGAGAGCGTTTGAGAGTGTGTCAGAGGGAATGAGAGTGTGTGAGAGGGGATGAGAGGGGATGAGAGGGGATGGGAGGGGTTGAGAGCGGATGAGAGTGGATGAGAGTGGATGAGAGCGTATGAGAGAGTATGAGAGTGGGTGAGAGGGAATGAGAGCGTAGGAGAGTGGGTGAGAGGGAATGAGAGTGTATGAGAGTGGGTGAGAGGGAATGAGAGCGTATGAGAGTGGGTGAGAGGGAATGAGAGCGTATGAGAGTGGGTGAGAGGGAATGAGAGCGTATGAGAGTGGGTGAGAGGGAATGAGAGCAAATGAGAGTGGGTGAGTGGGAATAAGAGCGTATGAGAGTGGGTGAGAGGGAATGAGAGGGTATGAGAGTGGGTGAGAGGAAGTGAGAGCGTATGAGAGTGGGTGAGAGGGAATGAGAGCGTATGAGAGTGGGTGAGAGGGAATGAGAGCGTATGGGAGTGGGTGAGAGGGAATGAGATGAGAGCGGATGAGAGTGGGTGAGAGGGAATGAGAGCGTATGAGAGTGGGTGAGAGGGAATGAGAGCGTATGAGAGTGGGTGAGAGGGAATGAGAGCGTATGAGAGTGGGTGAGAGGGAATGAGAGGGTATGAGAGTGGGTGAGAGGGAATGAGAGCGTATGAGAGTGGGTGAGAGGGAATGAGAGCGTATGAGTGTGGGTGAGAGGGAATGAGAGCGTAAGAGAGTGGATGAGAGGGAATGAGAGCGTATGAGAGTGGGTGAGAGGGAATGAGAGCGTTTGAGTGTGGGTGAGAGGGAATGAGAGCGTATGAGAGTGGGTGAGAGGGAATGAGAGCGTATGAGAGTGGGTGAGAGGGAATGAGAGCGTATGAGAGTGGGTGAGAGGGAATGAAAGCATATGAGAGTGGGTTAGAGGCAATGAGAGCGTTTGTGAGTGGGTGAGAGGGAATGAGAGCGTATGAGTGTGGGTGGGAGGGAATGAGAGCGTATGAGAGTGGGTGAGAGGGAATGAGAGCGTATGAGAGTGGGCGAGAGGGAATGAGAGCGTATGAGAGTGGGCGAGAGGGAATGAGAGCGTATGAGAGTGGGTGAGAGGGAATGAGAGCGTATGAGAGTGGGTTAGAAGGAATGAGTGTGTATGAGAGTGGGTGAGAGGGAATGAGAGCGTAAGAGAGTGGGTGAGAGGGAATGAGAGCGTATGAGTGTGGGTGGGAGGGAATGAGAGTGTATGAGAGTGGGTGAGAGGGAATGAGAGCGTAAGAGAGTGGATGAGAGGGAATGAGAGGGTATGAGAGTGGGTGAGAGGGAATGAGAGTGTATGAGTGTGGGTGAGAGGGAATGAGAGCGTATGAGAGTGGGTGAGAGGGATCGAGAGCGTATGAGAGTGGGTGAGAGGGAATGAGAGCGTATGAGAGTGGGTGAGAGGGAATGAGAGCGTATGAGAGTGGGTGAGAGGGAATGAGAGCGTATGAGAGTGGGTGAGAGGGAATGAGAGCGTATAAGAGTGGGCGAGAGGGAATGAGAGCGTATGAGAGTGGGTGAGAGGGAATGAGAGCGTATGAGAGTGGGTTTGAGGGAATGAGAGTGTATGAGAGTGGGTGAGAGGGAATGAGAGCGTAAGAGAGTGGGTGAGAGGGAATGAGAGGGTATGAGAGTGGGTGAGAGGGAATGAGAGCGTAAGAAAGTGGGTGAGTGGGAATGAGAGGGTATGAGAGTGGGTGAGAGGGAATGAGAGCGTATGAGTGTGGGTGGGAGGGAATGAGAGCGTATGAGAGTGGGTGAGAGGGAATGAGAGCGTAAGAGAGTGGATGAGAGGGAATGAGAGGGTATGAGAGTGGGTGAGAGGGAATGAGTGTGTATGAGTGTGGGTGAGAGGGAATGAGAGCGTATGAGAGTGTGTGAGAGGGATTGAGAGCGTATGAGAGTGGGTGAGAGGGAATGAGAGCGTTTGAGAGTGTGTCAGAGGGAATGAGAGCGTAGAAGAGTGGGTGAGATGGAATGAGAGCGTATGAGAGTGGGTGAGAGGGAATGAGAGCGTATGAGAGTGGGTGAGATGGAATGAGAGCGTATGAGAGTGGGTGAGAGGGAATGAGAGCGTATGAGAGTGGGTGAGAGGGAATGAGAGCGTATGAGAGTGGGCAAGAGGGAATAAGAGCGTATGAGAGTGGGTGAGAGGGAATGAGAGCGTATGAGAGTGGGTGAGAGGGAATGAGAGGGCATGAGAGTGGGTGAGAGGAAGTGAGAGCGTATGAGAGTGGGTGAGAGGGAATGAGAGCGTATGAGAGTGGGTGAGAGGGAATGAGAGCGTATGGGAGTGGGTGAGAGGGAATGAGAGCGTATGAGAGTGGGTGAGAGGGAATGAGAGCGTATGAGAGTGGGTGAGAGGGAATGAGAGCGTATGAGAGTGGGTGAGAGGGAATGAGAGCGTAAGAGAGTGGGTGAGAGGGAATGAGAGGGTATGAGAGTGGGTGAGAGGGAATGAGAGTGTATGAGTGTGGGTGAGAGGGAATGAGAGCGTATGAGAGTGGGTGAGAGGGAATTAGAGCGTATGAGAGTGGGTGAGAGGGAATGAGAGCGTATGAGAGTGGGTGAGAGGGAATGAGAGCGTATGAGAGTGGACAAGAGGGAATGAGAGCGTATGAGAGTGGGTGAGAGGGAATGAGAGCGTATGAGAGTGGGTGAGAGGGAATGAGAGCGTATGAGTGTGGGTGGGAGGGAATGAGAGCGTATGAGAGTGGGTGAGAGGGAATGAGAGCGTATGAGAGTGGGCGAGAGGGAATGAGAGCGTATGAGAGTGGGTGAGAGGGAATGAGAGCGTAAGAGAGTGGGTGAGAGGGAATGAGAGCGTATGAGAGTGGGTGAGAGGGAATGAGAGCGTATGAGAGTGGGTGTGAGGGAATGAGAGCGTATGAGAGTGGGTGAGAGGGAATGAGAGCGTATGAGAGTGCGTGGGAGGGAATGAGAGCGTATGAGAGTGGGTGAGAGGGAATGAGAGCGTAAGAGAGTGGATGAGAGGGAATTAGAGCGTATGAGAGTGGGTGAGAGGGAATGAGAGTGTATGAGTGTGGTTGAGAGGGAATGAGAGCGTATGAGAGTGGGTGAGAGGGATTGAGAGCGTATGAGAGTGGGTGAGAGGGAATGAGAGCGTATGAGAGTGGGTGAGAGGGAATGAGAGTGTATGAGAGTGGGTGAGAGGGAATGAGAGGGCATGAGAGTGGGTGAGAGGAAGTGAGAGCGTATGAGAGTGGGTGAGAGGGAATGAGAGCGTATGAGAGTGGGTGAGAGGGAATGAGAGCGTATGGGAGTGGGTGAGAGGGAATGAGAGCGTATGAGAGTGGGTGAGAGGGAATGAGAGCGTATGAGAGTGGGTGAGAGGGAATGAGAGCGTATGAGAGTGGGTGAGAGGGAATGAGAGCGTAAGAGAGTGGGTGAGAGGGAATGAGAGGGTATGAGAGTGGGTGAGAGGGAATGAGAGTGTATGAGTGTGGGTGAGAGGGAATGAGAGCGTATGAGAGTGGGTGAGAGGGAATTAGAGCGTATGAGAGTGGGTGAGAGGGAATGAGAGCGTATGAGAGTGGGTGAGAGGGAATGAGAGCGTATGAGAGTGGACAAGAGGGAATGAGAGCGTATGAGAGTGGGTGAGAGGGAATGAGAGCGTATGAGAGTGGGTGAGAGGGAATGAGAGCGTATGAGTGTGGGTGGGAGGGAATGAGAGCGTATGAGAGTGGGTGAGAGGGAATGAGAGCGTATGAGAGTGGGCGAGTGGGAATGAGAGCGTATGAGAGTGGGTGAGAGGGAATGAGAGTGTAAGAGAGTGGGTGAGAGGGAATGAGAGCGTATGAGAGTGGGTGAGAGGGAATGAGAGCGTATGAGAGTGGGTGTGAGGGAATGAGAGCGTATGAGAGTGGGTGAGAGGGAATGAGAGCGTATGAGAGTGCGTGGGAGGGAATGAGAGCGTATGAGAGTGGGTGAGAGGGAATGAGAGCGTAAGAGAGTGGATGAGAGGGAATTAGAGCGTATGAGAGTGGGTGAGAGGGAATGAGAGTGTATGAGTGTGGTTGAGAGGGAATGAGAGCGTATGAGAGTGGGTGAGAGGGATTGAGAGCGTATGAGAGTGGGTGAGAGGGAATGAGAGCGTATGAGAGTGGGTGAGAGGGAATGAGAGTGTATGAGAGTGGGTGAGAGGGAATGAGAGGGTATGAGAGTGGGTGAGAGGAAGTGAGAGCGTATGAGAGTGGGTGAGAGGGAATGAGAGCGTATGAGAGTGGGTGAGAGGGAATGAGAGCGTATGGGAGTGGGTGAGAGGGAATGAGAGCGTATGAGAGTGGGTGAGAGGAATGAGAGCGTATGAAAGTGGGTGAGAGGGAATGAGAGCGTATGAGAGTGGGTGAGAGGGAATGAGAGCGTATGAGAGTGGGTGAGAGGGAATGAGAGCGTATGAGAGTGGGTGAGAGGGAATGAGAGCGTATGAGAGTGGGTGAGAGGGAATGAGAGCGTATGAGTGTAAGTGAGAGGGAATGAGAGCGTAAGAGAGTGGATGAGAGGGAATGAGAGCGTATGAGAGTGGGTGAGAGGGAATGAGAGCGTTTGAGTGTGGGTGAGAGGGAATGAGAGCGTATGAGAGTGGGTGAGAGGGAATGAGAGCGTATCAGAGTGGGTGAGAGGGAATGAGAGCGTATGAGAGTGGGCGAGAGGGAATGAGAGCGTATGAGAGTGGGCGAGAGGGAATGAGAGAATATGAGAGTGGGTGAGAGGGAATGAGAGCGTATGAGAGTGGGATAGAGGGAATGAGAGTGTATGAGAGTGGGTGAGAGGGAATGAGAGCGTAAGAGAGTGGGTGAGAGGGAATGAAAGCGTATGAGAGTGGGTTAGAGGCAATAAGAGCGTTTGTGAGTGGGTGAGAGGGAATGAGAGCGTATGAGTGTGGGTGAGAGGGAATGAGAGCGTATGAGAGTGGGTGAGAGGGAATGGGAGCGTATGAGAGTGGGCGAGAGGGAATGAGAGCGTATGAGAGTGGGCGAGAGGGAATGAGAGCATATGAGAGTGGGTGAGAGGGAATGAGAGCGTATGAGAGTGGGTGAGAGGGAATGAGAGGGTATGAGAGTGGGTGAGAGGGAATGAGAGTGTATGAGTGTGGGTGAGAGGGAATGAGAGCGTATGAGAGTGGGTGAGAGGGAATTAGAGCGTATGAGAGTGGGTGAGAGGGAATGAGAGCGTATGAGAGTGGGTGAGAGGGAATGAGAGCGTATGAGAGTGGACAAGAGGGAATGAGAGCGTATGAGAGTGGGTGAGAGGGAATGAGAGCGTATGAGAGTGGGTGAGAGGGAATGAGAGCGTATGAGTGTGGGTGGGAGGGAATGAGAGCGTATGAGAGTGGGTGAGAGGGAATGAGAGCGTATGAGAGTGGGCGAGTGGGAATGAGAGCGTATGGAGAAAGGTAGTGGGTGAGAGGGAATGAGAGCGTAAGAGAGTGGGTGAGAGGGAATGAGAGCGTATGAGAGTGGGTGAGAGGGAATGAGAGCGTATGAGAGTGGGTGTGAGGGAATGAGAGCGTATGAGATGTGGGTGAGAGGGAATGAGAGCGTATATGAGAGTGCGTGGGAGGGAATGAGAGCGTATGAGAGTGGGTGAGAGGGAATGAAGCGTAAGAGAGTGGATGAGAGGGAATTAGAGCGTATGAGAGTGGGTGAGAGGGAATGAGAGTGTATTGAGTGTGGTTGAGAGGGAATGAGAGCGTATTAGAGTGGGTGAGAGGGATTGAGAGCGTATGAGAGTGGGTGAGAGGGAATGAGAGCGTATGAGAGTGGGTGAGAGGGAATGAGAGTGTATGAGAGTGGGTGAGAGGGAATGAGAGGGTATGAGAGTGGGTGAGAGGAAGTGAGAGCGTATGAGAGTGGGTGAGAGGGAATGAGAGCGTATGAGAGTGGGTGAGAGGGAATGAGAGCGTATGGGAGTGGGTGAGAGGGAATGAGAGCGTATGAGAGTGGGTGAGAGGGAATGAGAGCGTATGAAAGTGGGTGAGAGGGAATGAGAGCGTATGAGAGTGGGTGAGAGGGAATGAGAGCGTATGAGAGTGGGTGAGAGGGAATGAGAGCGTATGAGAGTGGGTGAGAGGGAATGAGAGCGTATGAGAGTGGGTGAGAGGGAATGAGAGCGTATGAGTGTAGTGAGAGGGAATGAGAGCGTAAGAGAGTGGATGAGAGGGAATGAGAGCGTATGAGAGTGGGTGAGAGGGAATGAGAGCGTTTGAGTGTGGGTGAGAGGGAATGAGAGCGTATGAGAGTGGGTGAGAGGGAATGAGAGCGTATCAGAGTGGGTGAGAGGGAATGAGAGCGTATGAGAGTGGGCGAGAGGGAATGAGAGCGTATGAGAGTGGGCGAGAGGGAATGAGAGAATATGAGAGTGGGTGAGAGGGAATGAGAGCGTATGAGAGTGGGGATAGAGGGAATGAGAGTGTATGAGAGTGGGTGAGAGGGAATGAGAGCGTAAGAGAGTGGGTGAGAGGGAATGAAAGCGTATGAGAGTGGGTTAGAGGCAATAAGAGCGTTTGTGAGTGGGTGAGAGGGAATGAGAGCGTATGAGTGTGGGTGAGAGGGAATGAGAGCGTATGAGAGTGGGTGAGAGGGAATGGGAGCGTATGAGAGTGGGCGAGAGGGAATGAGAGCGTATGAGAGTGGGCGAGAGGGAATGAGAGCATATGAGAGTGGGTGAGAGGGAATGAGAGCGTATGAGAGTGGGATAGAGGGAATGAGAGAGTATGAGAGTGGGTGAGAGGGAATGAGAGCGTATGAGAGTGGGTGAGAGGGAATGAGAGTGTATGAGTGTGGGTGAGAGGGAATGAGAGCGTATGAGAGTGGGTGAGAGGGAATTAGAGCGTATGAGAGTGGGTGAGAGGGAATGAGAGCGTATGAGAGTGGGTGAGAGCGAATGAGAGCGTATGAGAGTGGGCGAGAGGGAATGAGAGCGTATGAGAGTGGTGAGAGGGAATGAGAGCGTAAGAGAGTGGGTTAGAGGGAATGAGAGCGTATGAGAGTGGGTGAGAGGGAATGAGAGCGTATGAGAGTGGGGTGTGAGGGAATGAGAGCGTATGAGAGTGGGTGAGAGGGAATGAGAGCGTATGAGAGTGCGTGGGAGGGAATGAGAGCGTATGAGAGTGGGTGAGAGGGAATGAGAGCGTAAGAGAGTGGATGAGAGGGAATTAGAGCGTATGAGAGTGGGTGAGAGGGAATGAGAGTGTATGAGTGTGGTTGAGAGGGAATGAGAGCGTATGAGAGTGGGTGAGAGGGATTGAGAGCGTATGAGAGTGGGATAGAGGGAATGAGAGTGTATGAGAGTGGGTGAGAGGGAATGAGAGCGTAAGAGAGTGGGTGAGAGGGAATGAAAGCGTATGAGAGTGGGTTAGAGGCAATGAGAGCGTTTGTGAGTGGGTGAGAGGGAATGAGAGCGTATGAGTGTGGGTGACAGGGAATGAGAGCGTATGAGAGTGGGTGAGAGGGAATGGGAGCGTATGAGAGTGGGCGAGAGGGAATGAGAGCGTATGAGAGTGGGCGAGAGGGAATGAGAGCATATGAGAGTGGGTGAGAGGGAATGAGAGCGTATGAGAGTGGGATAGAGGGAATGAGAGTGTATGAGAGTGGGTGAGAGGGAATGAGAGCGTATGAGAGTGGGTGAGAGGGAATGAGAGTCTATGAGTGTGGGTGAGAGGGAATGAGAGCGTATGAGAGTGGGTGAGAGGGAATTAGAGCGTATGAAAGTGGGTGAGAGGGAATGAGAGCGTATGAGAGTGGGTGAGAGGGAATGAGAGCGTATGAGAGTGGGCGAGAAGGAATGAGAGCGTATGAGAGTGGGTTAGAGGGAATGAGAGCGTAAGAGAGTGGGTGAGAGGGAATGAGAGCGTATGAGAGTGGGTGAGAGGGAATGAGAGCGTATGAGAGTGGGTGTGAGGGAATGAGAGCGTATGAGAGTGGGTGAGAGGGAATGAGAGCGTATGAGAGTGCGTGGGAGGGAATGAGAGCGTATGAGAGTGGGTGAGAGGGAATGAGAGCGTAAGAGAGTGGATGAGAGGGAATTAGAGCGTATGAGAGTGGGTGAGAGGGAATGAGAGTGTATGAGTGTGGTTGAGAGGGAATGAGAGCGTATGAGAGTGGGTGAGAGGGATTGAGAGCGTATGAGAGTGGGTGAGAGGGAATGAGAGCGTATGAGAGTGGGTGAGAGGGAATGAGAGTGTATGAGAGTGGGTGAGAGGGAATGAGAGGGTATGAGAGTGGGTGAGAGGAAGTGAGAGCGTATGAGAGTGGGTGAGAGGGAATGAGAGCGTATGAGAGTGGGTGAGAGGGAATGAGAGCGTATGGGAGTGGGTGAGAGGGAATGAGAGCGTATGAGAGTGGGTGAGAGGGAATGAGAGCGTATGAGAGTGGGTGAGAGGGAATGAGAGCGTATGAGAGTGGGTGAGAGGGAATGAGAGCGTATGAGAGTGGGTGAGAGGGAATGAGAGCGTATGAGAGTGGGTGAGAGGGAATGAGAGCGTATGAGAGTGGGTGAGAGGGAATGAGAGCGTATGAGTGTAAGTGAGAGGGAATGAGAGCGTAAGAGAGTGGATGAGAGGGAATGAGAGCGTATGAGAGTGGGTGAGAGGGAATGAGAGCGTTTGAGTGTGGGTGAGAGGGAATGAGAGCGTATGAGAGTGGGTGAGAGGGAATGAGAGCGTATGAGAGTGGGTGAGAGGGAATGAGAGCGTATGAGAGTGGGCGAGAGGGAATGAGAGCGTATGAGAGTGGGCGAGAGGGAATGAGAGATATGAGAGTGGGTGAGAGGGAATGAGAGCGTATGAGAGTGGGTGAGAGGGAATGAGAGCGTAAGAGAGTGGGTGAGAGGGAATGAGAGGGTATGAGAGTGGGTGAGAGGTAATGAGAGTGTATGAGTGTGGGTGAGAGGGAATGAGAGCGTATGAGAGTGGGTGAGAGGGAATTAGAGCGTATGAGAGTGGGTGAGAGGGAATGAGAGCGTATGAGAGTGGGTGAGAGGGAATGAGAGTGTATGAGAGTGGGTGAGAGGGAATGAGAGCGTATGAGAGTGGTGAGAGGGAATGAGAGCGTAAGAGAGTGGGTGAGAGGGAATGAGAGGGTATGAGAGTGGGTGAGAGGGAATGAGAGTGTATGAGTGTGGGTGAGAGGGAATGAGAGCGTATCAGAGTGGGTGAGAGGGAATTAGAGCGTATGAGAGTGGGTGAGAGGGAATGAGAGCGTATGAGAGTGGGTGAGAGGGAATGAGAGCGTATGAGAGTGGACAAGAGGGAATGAGAGCGTATGAGAGTGGGTGAGAGGGAATGAGAGCGTATGAGAGTGGGTGAGAGGGAATGAGAGCGTATGAGTGTGGGTGGGAGGGAATGAGAGCGTATGAGAGTGGGTGAGAGGGAATGAGAGCGTATGAAAGTGGGCGAGAGGGAATGAGAGCGTATGAGAGTGGGTGAGAGGGAATGAGAGCGTAAGAGAGTGGGTGAGAGGGAATGACAGCGTATGAGAGTGGGTGAGAGGGAATGAGAGCGTATGAGAGTGGGTGAGAGGGAATGAGAGCGTAAGAGAGTGGGTGAGAGGGAATGAGAGCGTATGAGAGTCGGTGAGAGGGAATGAGAGCGTATGAGTGTGGGTGGGAGGGAATGAGAGCGTATGAGAGTGGGTGAGAGGGAATGAGAGCGTATGAGTGTGGGTGAGAGGGAATGAGAGCGTATGAGAGTGGGTGAGAGGGAATGAGAGCGTATGAGAGTGGGTGAGAGGGAATGAGAGCGTAAGAGAGTGGGTGAGAGGGAATGAGAGGGTATGAGAAGTGGGTGAGAGGTAATGAGAGTGTATGAGTGTGGTGAGAGGGAATGAGAGCGTATGAGAGTGGGGGAGAGGGAATTAGAGCGTATGAGAGTGGGTGAGAGGGAATGAGAGCGTATGAGAGTGGGTGAGAGGGAATGAGAGTGTATGAGAGTGGGTGAGAGGGAATGAGAGCGTATGAGAGTGGTTGAGAGGGATTGAGAGCGTAAGAGAGTGGGTGAGAGGGAATGAGAGGGTATGAGAGTGGGTGAGAGGGAATGAGAGTGTATGAGTTGTGGTGAGAGGGAATGAGAGCGTATCAGAGTGGGTGAGAGGGAATTAGAGCGTATGAGAGTGGGTGAGAGGGAATGAGAGCGTATGAGAGTGGGTGAGAGGAATGAGAGCGTATGAGAGTGGACAAGAGGGAATGAGAGCGTATGAGAGTGGGTGAGAGGGAATGAGAGCGTATGAGAGTGGGTGAGAGGGAATGAGAGCGTATGAGTGTGGGTGGGAGGGGAATGAGAGCGTATGAGAGTGGGTGAGAGGGAATGAGAGCGTATGAAAGTGGGCGAGAGGGAATGAGAGCGTATGAGAGGTGGGTGAGAGGGAATGAGAGCGTAAGAGAGTGGGTGAGAGGGAATGACAGCGTATGAGAGTGGGTGAGAGGGAATGAGAGCGTATGAGAGTGGGTGTGAGGGAATGAGAGCGAATGAGAGTGGGTGAGAGGGAATGAGAGCGTATGAGAGTGGGTGGAGGGAATGAGAGCGTATGAGAGTGGGTGAGAGGGACATGAGAGCGTAAGAGAGTGGATGAGAGGGAATTAGAGCGTATGAGAGTGGGTGAGAGGGAATGAGAGTGTATGAGTGTGGTTGAGAGGGAATGAGAGCGTATGAGAGTGGGTGAGAGGGATTGAGAGCGTATGAGAGTTGGTGAGAGGGAATGAGAGCGTATGAGAGTGGGTTAGAGGGAATGAGAGTGTATGAGAGTGGGTGAGAGGGAATGAGAGGGTATGAGAGTGGGTGAGATGAAGTGAGAGCGTATGAGAGTGGGTGAGAGGGAATGAGAGCGTATGAGAGTGGGTGAGAGGGAATGAGAGCGTATGGGAGTGGGTGAGAGGGAATGAGAGCGTATGAGAGTGGGTGAGAGGGAATGAGAGCGTATGAGAGTGGGTGAGAGGGAATGAGAGCGTATGAGAGTGGGTGAGAGGGAATGAGAGCGTATGAGAGTGGGTGAGAGGGAATGAGAGCGTATGAGAGTGGGTGAGAGGGAATGAGAGCGTATGAGAGTGGGTGAGAGGGAATGAGAGCGTATGAGTGTGGGTGAGAGGGAATGAGAGCGTAAGAGAGTGGATGAGAGGGAATGAGAGCGTATGAGAGTGGGTGAGAGGGAATGAGAGCGTTTGAGTGTGGGTGAGAGGGAATGAGAGCGTATGGGAGTGGGTGAGAGGGAATGAGAGCGTATGAGAGTGGGTGAGAGGGAATGAGAGCGTATGAGAGTGGGTGAGAGGGAATGAGAGCGTATGAGAGTGGGTGAGAGGGAATGAGAGCGTATGAGAGTGGGTGAGAGGGGAATGAGAGCGTATGAGATTGGGTGAGAGGGAATGAGAGCGTATGAGAGTGGGTGAGACGGAATGAGAGCGTATGAGTGTGGGTGAGAGGGAATGAGAGCGTAAGAGAGTGGATGAGAGGGAATGAGAGCGTATGAGAGTGGGTGAGAGGGAATGAGAGCGTTTGAGTGTGGGTGAGAGGGAATGAGAGCGTATGAGAGTGGGTGAGAGGGAATGAGAGCGTATGAGAGTGGGTGAGAGGGCATGAGAGCGTACGAGAGGGGTGAGAGGGAATGAAAGCGTATGAGAGGTGGGGTAGAGGCAATGAGAGCGTTTGTGAGTGGGTGAGAGGGAATGAGAGCGTATGAGTGTGGGTGAGAGGAATGAGAGCGTATAAAGAGTGGTGAGAGGGAATGAGAGCGTATGAGATGTGGGCGAGAGGGAATGAGAGCGTATGAGAGTGGGCGAGAGGGAATGAGAGCGTATGAGAGTGGGTGAGAGGGAATGAGAGCGTATGAGAGTGGGATGAGGGAAGAGAGTGTATGAGAGTGGTGAGAGGGAATGAGAGCGTAAGAGAGTGGGTGAGAGGGAATGAGAGCGTATGAGAGTCGATGAGAGGGAATGAGAGCGTATGAGTGTGGGTGGAGGGAATGAGAGCGTATGAGAGTGGGTGAGGGAATGAGAGCGTATGAGTGTGGTGAGAGGGAATGAGAGCGTATGAGAGTGTGAGAGGGAATGAGAGCGTATGAGAGTGGTGAGAGGGAATGAGAGCGTAAGAGAGTGGGTGAGAGGGATGAAGGGTATGAGAGTGGGTGAGAGGGAATGAGAGTGTAGAGTGTGGGTGAGAGGGAATGAGAGCGTATGAGAGTGGGTGAGAGGGAATTAGAGCGTATGAGAGTGGGTGAGAGGGAATGAGAGCGTATGAGAGTGGTGAGAGGGAATGAGAGCGTATGAGAGTGGGTGAGAGGGAATGAGAGCGTATGAGAGTGGGTGAGAGGGAATGGAGCGTAGAGAGTGGGTGAGAGGGAATGAGAGGTATGAGAGTGGGTGAGAGGGAATGAGAGTGTATGAGTGTGGGTGAGAGGGAATGAGAGCGTATCAGAGTGGGTGAGAGGAATTAGAGCGTATGAGAGTGGGTGAGAGGGAATGAGAGCGTATGAGAGTGGTGAGAGGGAATGAGACGCGTATGAGAGTGGGTGAGAGGAATGAGAGCGTATGAGAGTGGGTGAGAGGGAATGAGAGCGTATGAGAGTGGGTGAGAGGGAATGAGAGCGTATGAGTGTGGGTGTGGAGAAATGAGAGCGTATGAGAGTGGGTGAGAGGGAATGAGAGCGTATGAGAGTGGGCGGAGGGAATGAGAGCGTATGAGAGTGGGTGAGAGGGAATGAGAGCGTAAGAGAGTGGGTGAGAGGGAATGACAGCGTATGAGAGTGGGTGAGAGGGAATGAGAGCGTATGAGAGTGGGTGTGAGGGATGAGAGCGTATGAGAGTGGGTGAGAGGGAATGAGAGCGTATGAGAGTGGGTGGGAGGGAATGAGAGCGTATGAGAGTGGGTGAGAGGGAATGAGAGCGTAAGAGAGTGGATGAGAGGGAATAGAGCGTATGAGAGTGGGTGAGAGGGAATGAGAGTGTATGAGTGTGTTGAGAGGAATGAGAGCGTATGAGAGTGGGTGAGAGGGATTGAGAGCGTATGAGAGTTGTGAGAGGGAATGAGAGCGTATGAGAGTGGGTAGAGGGAATGAGAGTGTATGAGAGTGGGTGAGAGGGAATGAGAGGGTATGAGAGTGGGTGAGATGAAGTGAGAGCGTATGAGAGTGGGTGAGAGGGAATGAGAGCGTATGAGAGTGGGTGAGAGGGAATGAGAGCGTATGAGAGTGGGTTAGAGGGAATGAGAGGGTATGAGAGTGGGTGAGAGGAATGAGAGCGTATGAGAGTGGGGTGAGAGGGAATGAGAGCGTATGAGAGTGGGTGAGAGGGAATGAGAGCGTATGAGAGTGGGTGAGAGGGAATGAGAGCGTATGAGAGTGGGTGAGAGGGAATGAGAGCGTATGAGATTGGGTGAGAGGGAATGAGAGCGTATGAGAGTGGGTGAGACGGAATGAGAGCGTATGAGTGTGGGTGAGAGGGAATGAGAGCGTAAGAGAGTGATGAGAGGGAATGAGCGTATGAGAGTGGGTGAGAGGGAATGAGAGCGTTTGAGTGTGGGTGAGAGGGAATGAGAGCGTATGAGAGTGGGTGAGAGGGAAGAGAGCGTATGAGAGTGGGTGAGAGGGCATGAGAGCGTACGAGAGTGGGTGAGAGGGAATGAAAGCGTATGAGAGTGGGTGAGAGGGAATGAGAGCGTATGAGAGTGGGTGAGAGGGAATGAGAGCGTATGAGATTGGTGAGAGGGATGAGAGCGTATGAGAGTGGGTGAGAGAGAATGGAATGAGAGGTATAGAGTGGGTGAGAGGGAATGAGAGCGTATGAGAGTGGTGAGAGGAATGAGAGCGTATGAGAGTGGGTGAGAGGGAATGAGAGCGTATGAGAGTGGGTGAGAGGGAATGAGAGCGTATGAGAGTGGGTGAGAGGGAATGAGAGCGTATGAGTTTGGGTGAGAGGGAATGAGAGCGTAAGAGAGTGGATAGAGGGAATGAGAGCGTATGAGAGTGGGTGAGAGGGAATGAGAGCGTATGAGAGTTGGTGAGAGGGATTAGAGCGTATGAGAGTGGGTGAGAGGGAATGAGAGCGTATGAGAGTGGGTGAGAGGGAATGAGAGCGTATGAGAGTGGGTGAGAGGGAATGAGAGCGTATGAGAGTGGGTGAGAGGGAATGAGAGCGTATGAGAGTGGGTGAGAGGGAATGAGAGCGTATAGAGTGGGTGAGAGGGAATGAGAGCGTATGAGAGTGGGTGAGAGGGATGAGAGCGTAAGAGAGTGGGTGAGAGGGAATGAGAGGGTATGAGAGTGGGTGAGAGGGAATGAGAGTGTATGAGTGTGGGTGAGAGGGAATGAGAGCGTATGAGAGTGGGTGAGAGGGAATTAGAGCGTATGAGAGTGGGTGAGGGAATGAGAGCGTATGAAGAGTGGGTGAGAGGGAATGAGAGGCGTATGAGAGTGGGTGAGAGGGAATGAGAGCGTATGAGAGTGGTGAGAGGAATGAGAGCGTATGAGAGTGGGTGAGAGGGAATGAGAGCGTATGAGAGTGGGTGAGAGGGAATGAGAGGTATGAGAGTGGGTGAGAGGGAATG